TTAAAAGTTTGAATTCGCGCGTTTTTACTCACCGGGCGGCCTAAAAAAAACCTCGTCCCTAAGGGCTTTCATCGTATTTTTCGATGCATTTTTCTCGATGAAAGAATTTTTTTTGAATGTTTTCTTTATTTTTATGTCAATCTACATGCATTTCTGCACATTTTGATGCAATAAAAAATTTCACCGTACACCACCTTTAAAATATTGTCACAAACCTTATTGTGAGTCTTATTCAGAGCCTATTTTTTCAATTTTTCGGGGATCCTGGAATTCTAATTTTTAGAGTTTCAGAAAACTTTTATTCGGAAATTTCAAAATTAAGCAGTTCGGAATTTCAAAGAAACAAAACATCAGAAATGCGGAAATCCAGGAATAATGGAATTTCAGAAAGTTTGGGGTTTGAAAATTAATAAATTTGCTAATTCCGAAAATCAAGAATCGGAGATTCAGAAGTTTTCAAATTGAAGGCCGTGAGAACTCTTTAATTTTGAAAGTCGGATGGGAACTCAAAATTTTAAGAATTTTCTAACTCGTGGAAAGTTTCTTTAATTCGGGATTTCAGTATTTCTGAATTTCTGAAACTTCGAATTTGTGTGTTTCTTAATTTTCTGTCTGAAATTCTGAATTTTCATAATATTCCACTTTGGACAATTTTGAATGAAAAATCAGAAGTTGAGGAAGTCCAAGTTCAAAGATTTGAATTCATGAATTCAGGAATTCGAAAACTGAAAAATTCTATAACTTTAGTTCTTATCTGATTTTCATCTGTAAGAGTTTTTTTTTGGTTTCTGAATGAGTAAATTGAAACTAAATTTTTGGGTTTCTGGATCTCCAAATCTGGACTTTCTAGATTCCCGATATTTTCAATTTCTGGGCTCTTCAAAAACCCATACATTTGAAAGTGAAAACGTATGTAGTGTTCCCTAGTCAATTTCCAACTTTATGTTCACAAAAAAATAATTCTTGAAAGGGATTTTTTAAATAATACAGTTACAGTAACCCTCTTGCTCACTCTAAATTTACATCATAACGTTGAACCGTTTCCTTTGTTTTCGTTGCCGGGGTAGCCAAGTGGCAAAGGCGCGGGCCTTAAGAACCTGTGGATATATATCCTTTAGGGGTTCGATTCCCCTCCCCGGCAAAGTCTTTTGTTTTTATTTATATTTTCGGTGTGCAATACTCCGCAATCTATGAGTCGTCTAGTGATACTATTATTACGGTTTCCGTTCTATTTGACTATATAGTTTTTTGAAGCTTTTGTCTTAAAATGTTTCAGCTTCTCCCATTTTCTTTCTCTTTTTTTTTTCAAATGACCTCGAAATGTACTCCTTCGTTTTATCTTGGTATTCATCATAGTTTTTTCCGGTGCTTCTCACTTTCTAATTGATCAATTTTTACATGTGATTTTTCTTCTTTTCAAAATGTTTGAGTCAAAAGCTTCAAGAACCAGTTCCTTTTCCTCTCCTCGGAGAGACGCAGTACATACATGACGTCACTCACTTCTCTAACCACCCTCCTCCGTCCACACACTCTCTCTAATCTCTGCGTACTCCACCCGTGCATCCCCGCTTCATATTATCGATTTTCAGTGCGGTAAACCCAGAGAAGACATAAAAAACACAGAATTCGAATTCCAGCAACAAGCTAGTCGCATTCTTTTGCACTTCCTCTTACTTTTTTCCCTCTAGCTTCTCTAGCCACCACTCTGTTGTTCCTTCTATTTTCGCCTTCCAGCAGGAAGAGACGCCTTTTTGTTTTTCATTTTTATTTGTGTGTTCTCCCGCTCTCTATGGCTTCTCATATATTTATGCTTGTTTTGCAAGAGTGTCCGAGGGTTTTTCATATTTCATTTTCAGCCAGTGATTAGAGAAAAAACACGATTATACATATCGAAGTACGATGTTATTTGGCTGCTTTATCCGCATTTCTCTAGGTGTCCGAGATAATTCTCATCTTATTTTAGTTCCTCTTTCATTCTACTGTAGTCTTGTCCCTTTTTTTTTGAATTTCATTACATTTTCAGCTCAAAAAAATGACGACAGATGATGAGCCACCTTCTTCTAACACAACGGTACCATCCACATCATCGACGTCTCCGCTTACCGTTGCGTGTGATTTGGAGTGCGAAGGAGATCCCACGCGGCCGTCTTCATCAATAATCCCCTCATTTTTAACACTCAATTTTGACAAACTATCCCTGGATTCAGATCTGTGCGAAGGCCGCTACGATCAAGATCATTCGCCGCCGGGTCCGCAATCACCGACACGAGATACGGTAGGCATTTTAATTCACGAACATAAATTGTGATTTTTTGTTAATTTCAGCAGCAAAATATGCCCCCGACGGCTGAAAATCCTCAATATTATCGAGCAACGGCTAGCAAACGTGGACGTTTCGCACCCTATGATGTACCCTTCAAATTGAGGTAATAATCTTTAAGATTTAAATATTTCTAACCGATTTAAAAGATTCAGACGCCGTCGGAAGGTGAAAGTGTCGACAACAAAGTCAACGGATATCGAGGTTTTAATAAAAATAAAGCTGAAAGGAGACGTCGAGCCTCTCAGAATGTGTATATTCGACAAGTGAGTCTATCATTCAGCATATGCTGATAATTTTCCAATTTCAGAGAACAAATATTATTGCCTAAACCGTGTGGTGTTCAAGCCGCCTTCTTCCCTCCATCTTCCACCACTCAACCTGAAGAAGTCGACGAACTCTCAGAATACTTTACTCATTTCGTTCGCGTCGAGCTGAAAATGTCATCGTTGGCCGAATCAATGTACGTGTGAAGGAAAACAAAGCGGATCGAGATCTAAATTCAAAATAAATATATCACCTCTCAACCAGTTGTATTACATTCTCGTTTTTTTCCTTTCTTTCTTTCCTTGCTCACCCTTGTCCCCCTGTTTCCTGTTTTCGACCTACTACACAGCCTGTTTTATCACTGAACATCATATAAAAAATCATGATTTTAAATACAACAATACCAAATATCAAAATAGTTAGTTTTAGGCAAATTAAGAGTGACACAGATAAAGCACTAGGATCATGTGTCACAGATCATAACTGAAATTTAGAATGTCATCGGGTGAATATTGTGGAAAATTGAAGATCGATTGAACAGAGACTAAAAAAATCATATAAACATTCAAACAAGGATTGCAGGTGATTGAAAACTTCAATCCTCCATTTCAACATCTCCAGCTTGCCCTCCAGAACCTTCTCCTCCAGATGGCGATTCGTCAGATTCATTGTCTTCCTCATCATCGTCGTTTTCCTCGGCTTCATCATTTCCCTATAATTATCAATATACTGGACTGAACTAACTCGTCCGGAGCTTACCGTTGGATCTTGATCATCTTCTCCTTCAACCTCATTCTTGTCCTTGTTATCATCCTTATCCTCATTTCCACCTTCATTTCCATCATCATCTTCATCGTCGTCTTCAGACTCCTTCTCCTCTCTCGGCATAACCCAGATGTTCATGTGTGGCGCGTTACCATCATCAACAAACTCGAACCGATACTTATTTCTTCCTCTTAGAACTTCTTCTGCGGCTTGAAGGTACTCCTCCTCAACACTATCTCTTTCTTCTTTGCTTTTGGCTTCCATCAACCGCCTCCGGAACTTCAAGTAGAGCTTCACAGCGTTCTCAGGATCATCCGCACACGCAGCATGATGAATATTCTTAGCAAGAGAGGAGAATAGTTTATCAATGTTATTGAATAGAGATGCATCTCCAGGGAACAGGTTCTTGATAGCGTCTTCAAAAGCACCAATATCCGTCTGTGCCGATCCGAGTTGCTTCAATTCGCGAAGAGCCGTTGTGTAGAAAGCAGAAGGACATGCGCGAACATTCCTGATATCATCGACAGCCTCCTGTTGCGTCTTGACGTATTCTGAAAGTGTTAGACGTCCGTGAGAGCGGGCGCCGACTCCTTCCTGCCACTTCTTCTGTTTCTTCGCGTTGTCATCATACTCTTGGGTGTAGTTAGCTTGAGAGGCGAGAAGTTTGGCGAAACGTTCCTGGATCATATGATAGAATCTGATCACCAGATACACGTTGTCATCTCCATAAAACACTCGTCGTTCTCGCCTGTGAAGGCTTTTAGTGAACTTTTCTGCAGCGTTTTCGCTGGATTCTTGAGAAGATGATGTTGGGAATGGAGATACACGATCGCTTCGAGTCCGACGCGTATCCATGTCGTCTTCCATACTGAAATAATATTGCTAATTAAAGCTTAATCTCTCCTAAAACTTACGAATCTCGATTCGATTTGAAAACTTCCCCAGCGTCCGAATCGAGCTTCACATTGTCCTGCTCTCGACACAACCACTCCATTAAGACTCTAGAACTGGATTAGGGGTTCAAATCGATTTGTTCTATTAGTGGACTCACCTGAACAAAACTACTTTGGTACGATCTTTGTCTCCTTTGCCTCCGAGATCCTGGAAAAAGTGGCTGGTGACGTCGTTAACATCCTGGTATACTTTTCCTTCTGGAGTGTAATCCAAACTCATATGAGCTTCCTTATCGTCAGCGCCACTGTAAGAAATTATTCTTGATTTCAAAAAGAACCGTTTCCCCTTTGAACTATACCTTTTCTTTCTATCCTCAAAAATTTGCTCGATTGCACTGACAAGAGGCTTCGACTTGAACGCCTTCTGATCATAGTTCTTCTGTTGATTGTTCATAAGACTCAACGAGGTGGTCATTTGTTTGTCCAACGCATCGCGCCACGCCCTGTTCGCATCTTGTTGGAAGCGAGTCCATGCTGCATCCTTCTCTTGAAGACCTTCGATAATCTTTTTCAGGCCAACTACTGGTTTTTCTTTTGCCGCTTGAACCAGCTCTGGAACCGAATTCGTATAGATTTTAGTCATCACTCGCAAGAATGTCGCACGAGATGTACAGTTGAGAGAGTCGTTCAATCTGAAAAATGACATTACTAGCAGCTTTAACGGATCAGAAAACTCACTGGAACGCTCTTCTCTCTGCGTCACTCATGGCTTCGATATCGGTGAGTGTTTTTTCGAGCTCTTCCATGATAGTTCGATTCGAGTCAACGATAATGTCAAGCTCATATCTCTCATCCTCAGTTCTGAAATGGAATTCTTCCAAGTTAGACTTCTTTATTGCCTGATTGCCAGTATCTTCTGAAGACCACGACGGATATGAAGTCCATTTATCGTTGAGTGTCTGAAAAAAAATAGATTGTGAAATAAACATTTCAGAGTCCAAGTACTTCTTTAATATCAGGTTCGAGTTCGACTCTTCCACTGCATGCAGCCTCTTTGGAATCCTTCATCAGACGATAACTTGGTCCAAGTGTGCAAACAGTGGCCGCTTCCACAGTTCGGGTCTGTTGTAGCTGTTTCTGATCGCGAAGTCCTCGTTTCGGTTGCACAGGAGGCAAGTCTTTTCTCGTCACCGCATCCGGATCATTTTCCGGTTTTTGATCTTTGTCGATGCCAAGAAGTCGAAGAATGATAATCTCTGCCTGCGTTCCTGAGCCTCCCATCACTTTCGGAAGTTGTAGAACCAACTGTTCTTTGGTTAGATCCAACTTCAAGTACATGTTGAGTAAGGTAATCAGATGTTTGATTTGAGTGGCAGTTGTGCGCTCTTTGAGCTTCTCGTACAGAATTCTGTACGTCTTCTGGAGCACCATCAACTGCTCTTCGGATCCTTCGCCTGATTCGTCCATTTTTGTGAGGACGAGTTTCTCTTCCTGTAAATTTTTGTTGAGGGAGCCGTCCTGTACGTTTCAGTTACCTTTTTAGTTCCCATCTTGGCACTCTCCATTTTTTTCAGCAATTTTTGATCAACTCGTTCTGGATCGGCGAGTTCAACAATGCCACAGTTGTCGGCGACTTTAAAACGGAGAATCGATTGGATTTTCTAAAAGAAGAGTGGAAACAATGAATGAGCCGAGAGATGAAAACACACAAACAGGTCAATATCGGTAGATCATAGGAAATATATTTGATCTTTAAGGCATTTTATGAAAAAAGTTTCTCAATAAATGTAGAGTATTTCAACAAACCGAATTGAAACGGCAGTTCACATTCAAATGAGCTCATCATTTCAGAAACAAAACTATTTATTCCAATTATCCGGTCCATTAAAATACAGAACATTTGTTAAAAATACTTTTTGGGCCATATAGTCAGACTATTATTTCTTATTAGTAGTTATTTCGCCTAGATTTGATTTAAAAATTTTGTGCACTACCTCAGCGGTTTGTTCGGATCCATTTTTGAGGAGCGTGTTCAGATATGGAAGGAAGTCGATGAGCGTAGCGAGAAGGACTGGTTCACCAAGACATACTTCAGCAAGATGCGAAATCAGATGTTCTTGATGGGCATTTTCCAGAACTTCTTCATCCCTTGATGCTGCTCCTCCTCTTCTTGCCTCTTCATCTTCTTCCATTTCCATATTTTCATCTACGGGAGGTCTCACTTGTTGTGGCGGAGGTGCAGGACCTGGCATCTCTTCATCTCTAGCATCCCCTCCATCCATCTTTTGACCTTTCTTTTTTTGAATATAGAATTTTGTGGTGCTCAGATACATATCCATGAATGTCAAAAAGCTAGTGGTTCTGTCTGGACGAGCAGAGAACGCCTCGGTGACAAGTCTCACAATCTCCAGAGTTTGGGCAGACACATCTTCTGGAATTTCGTCCACTTCCTCCTCCTCCGGCTCTTCAGCTTGTCCTCTATCGACGATTACTTCTTCCATCAGAGGTAGCTCAATCTGCTCTTCATCTTCCTCGACGCCCGCTTCGTTGCTCTCATCGCTGGGGTTTCCATCTTGCAATTCATCCATTTCATCAGCTGGATCTTCCAAAGGTGGAAGCGGTATTTCATCTTCTTCGGGACCACCAGCGTCCATTCTCTGCTGTCGGCGTTCTTGTGGCGATAGAAGGATCTGCTAGTATGGGAAAACACATTACAAAATGTCTTGATCAGTCCCACTTACTCTTGTCTGATTATCCGGCGTCGTGAATGTGTACTTTGTACCATCTAACATTGCAATTTTGTATCCAGTAGGCAGAAAAGTGTTAAAACCGAGCACTAGATTCGGAGAATCATATAGAAGCGCGGCAACTTGTTCGACGACTTCTGAAGTTTCGATTCTGTAATAAATAAATTCAAATAGGATCCAATACTATTTATACACTACCTTTGAGCTCTGAAGTTCTTCATAATATCAAGAAAGCGGTGATAGACCGGAACGCGATTAACAAAAGTTTCTTTAATAATTCTCAGATAAGAGAGAGCCTCATCGACACGCGGTGGGCCGTTATCTGGTTCCACTTGCCGTCTTTGCCCTCTTCCGCGGCCTCGACGAGCTCGAACTGGTGGTGCAGCACGTGGAGGAGGAGATGATGATAGACGTTCTGGTTCTCTTGGAACCTCGACTTGCTGTTGTTGCACATGTAGCTGTTGCTGGGGATGTACTTGTTGAGGCAGCGGCGGCGGGGGAGCAGGACGAATCTGTATAAGTTGCTGGTGTGGTTGCTGACGTGGTTGCTGATGTAGCTGCTGATGACGCTGCTGAAGAGGTTCCTGCGGTGGGTGAGGCTGGAATCGATGCTGTGGTTGAGGCTGGGGTCGATGAAGTGGTTGAGGTTGCGGTTGATGTTGTGGTGGGGGTTGAGGTTGCCGCTGTGTTGGGGGCAGGGGTTGATGAAGTGATTGAGGCTGAGGTTGACGTTGTGGTTGGGGCTGGGGTTGATGTTGTACTTGATGATGTGGTAGATTCTGTGGTTGATGACGTGGCCGTGGCTGTGGTGGAGGTTGAGGCCGATGAACTTGAGGAGCAACAACCTGTGCACTCTGGAAATACTACAAGAGGATTAGCCTGGACACTATGCAGCTGGTAATGTAACTTACGTTATTTTGAACCCGAACCACCGGAATTTGAATATTACTATGCGTGGCAATTTGTGGACGCTGGGCTTGAGGTTGAACCAATTGTGGCGCCGGAGGCTGTTGAGGCTGTTGAACTCGATTTTCTTCTTGATTGATGAAATTCATAACTTGATTCGAAGCTTGAAGAATTCCAGGAGAGTTGACAACATGAACCCGCTGAGCCGGAGACTGTTGTGCAGACGGTTGCGCAGATAGTGGGGCCGGTGGAACGATTGGGGTCGCAGGAGGAGCAGGAATGTTCGCAACATGTTGTTGAGCGATTTGTTGAGCCAACAGCGGATTTAGTTGCTGATTTTGAGCAACAGCACCGAGTCGTCTCAACAACTCCTGTTGCTGTTGGAGTGCTAATATTTGTTGTAGTTGTTGTTGTTGTTGTTGTTGTATTTGCTGTTGCTGTAATTGTTGCTGCTGTTGATTCCGCTGCTCCTGTTGAAGCAGCAACTCTTGTTGCTGTTGCTGTTGCAGACGAACTATTTGTTGTAATTGTTCGTGCGGGAGCTGTTGAGGCTGCGGTTGTTGCCGTTGTTGCTGTGGTAGCCCTAGCAATAATCCCAACAATTGAGCTTGATTTTGTGGGTTCGTGATAGCTGCGAGCGCTTCCTGAAGTTGCGGAGTTAAGAGTTGCAAATTCGGATTGTTCGGAGGTTGTTGAGGCGGATTTCCACCGCCTCCTGGCGGATTCTGTCCGTTGAACATTCTGAAACAGAAATATGGAGGAATGTATAAAGAAAGCTAGAAAAAGAGCAAGGAGAAGATAATATTATATTTAGAATGTGTCAAAAATCACATTATAAAGCTATCGATCGCATAGCAATCTTCATTTTCATACAAAAATTGAAGAATCGACTTGAAAAAGGCCGAATTCGAATTTCGATTTGAATGATGTTGCCGGTGCCGGGGTAAATCTCTCTGCGGTCTCTTCATAAAGCACACTCTCTCTGCTAGCAATGGAGCGCGTTTGTATGCCAAGAGACTTCTCCAGGAGACCCCGCATATTCTGGGGAAACAAGTTTCAGTTGACGCGAAAAATTCAGTTACGTTCAGACCTATTTTTTCCGATATCGTTTTTGATACCATTTTCCTGTCTATTGCTAAGCGTCTAGAGTGTAGTGAATTAAGGCCAAAGAGTAGGTTGCGCTCGCTCGCAGATTTATATTTCTTATCGTTTGGGTTAACATATCTTCCTAGTTTACGACTATACAGTCTTCTTGTGAAAGAGTTTTGCACTGATTCTATTAATTTAATATCTGATAATTTGAAGGGACTACTGATTACCGTACCATATTCGAGCACAGGCCTTATGAAAACTTTGTGTATTATCCT